TTCACTTGTGTTTAAACAACTGCCTCTTGCTCTATGTACAGGATCCTCATGAGCATGATTAAGTGTTCTGGAATACTCATACTTCTCAATGTTGTCTATAGTTTATCATGATCCACACAATTGAAAGCCTTTGCATAGTCAATTACTACTTTCTAGTAATCTCTGCTTTCAGCCAAGATCCGTCGGACATCAGCAACGATATCTCTAGTTCCACGTCCTCTTCTGAATCCAGTTGGAACCTCTGGAAGTCCTCTGTCAATGTATGGCTACAGCTGTTTCTGTATTACCTTTTGTAAACGTTTACTCTCAAGGGATATGAATGATATTGTCTGATGATTTCCATATTCCATTGGCTCACCTCTCTTTGGAATGCCCACAAATAGGGATTTCTCTCAATCAGTTGGCTGGATAGATGGACTTGTTTCTTCAGCATCAGCCTGAATTTGCATATGTGCAATTGATGGTCTTTTCCACAGTCTGCCCCGGCCTGGTTTGGGCTGTTGATGTGGAGCTTTTCCACCGTCTCTTTCCACAGATGGAGTCAATTTGATTTTTCTGTATTCCCGGTAGTGAGGCCCATCTGTATAGTCGTCTTTTATGCTGTTTTAAAAAGGTATTTTCAGTGACACAGTCATTGGTCTTGCAGAATTCTATCATGTGATCTCCAGCATTGTTTATAATCACCAGGCCATATCTTCCAACTACTGATCCTTCCTCTTTGTTTCCAACCTCTGCATTCCAGTTCCCAGTTCTCATCAATGCATCTTGATTGCATGTCTGACCAACTCCAAACAGAAGAAGTTGGTAGAATTCCTCAATTTCATCCTCACTGATTTTAGTGCTTGGTGCATATATTTGAATCATAGTGGTATTAACTGGTCTTCCTTGTAGCCATATGGGTATTATTCTATCACAGATAGCGTTGAACTTCAAGACAGATCTTGGTATGTTCTTTTTGATGATGACTGCAACATCATTCTGCTTCAATTTGTTATACACAACATAGTAAACCTTTTGATTGTCAGATTCAAAATGGCCAAGACCAGTCCATTTCAGCTCATAGTGCCTAGGATATCGATGTTTATGTGTTCCAGTTCAGTTTTTACAATTTCCAATTTTCCTAGATTCAGACTTCATACATTCCATGTTCTGATTATTAATGGATGTTTACAGCTGTTTCTCTTTCTTCAGCTTGAGTTGTGTCCTATCAGCAGATGAAGGTCCCACGGGCTTTACTTCTTTCGTGTCATCATTGTCGACTCTATTTTGGGAGACAGCTCTTCCTCAGTCATATTTTGAGTAACTTCCAACCTGAGGGACTCATCTTCCTGCATCATATCTGACAATATTCTGGGGCTCTTCATCATGTTTCAGTAATCTGGTGCTGACTGTGTTCCATTGCTATTTATAAGATTTTCAGTGACTAAATGTTGGGAAGTCGTCTGTCTCTCCTTCTTCCTAATCTGTGTTCATTTGGAAGCTTAGTCGAAACCTGTTCACCATGGGTGACCCTGCCAGTATTTAAAATACCAGTGGCATAGCTTCCAGAATCACAGTGACACACAAGCTACCACACGGCATGACAAACCGACAGACGAGTGGTGGCTTTGGGTAGTGTTGACATTTTCACAATATTAAGTCTTCCTGTCCACTAGTAGGAGTCTGGTGTGGCATTGAGGGTTAATGTGCTGGACTACAATGTCGATTTGAACCGCAAGTTCGGTGGTTCAAGCCCACCAGACATTCCTCGGAAACTCTCTACAGAGTTACTATGAGTCGGAACCGACTTTAAAGCACTTAGTAACAACAACAACAGCATCCACTACCATGGTATGAACCTCCATTTCTGCAGGTATTTTTTGTTTTTTATAGTGGTGTTTTGTATTTTTCTTTGTATAAGCCTTTTGTTTCTCTAGTTTGATTTATTCCCAAGTATTTATTTCATCTTTTGTAAGTGGTGTTTTCCTGATTTCCTTTTTAGAGCACTCTTTTTTAGTGTAAAGGAATCCAGCTGGTTTTGTATGTTAATCACGTACTTTGCCGCTGCCAAGTCTACCAACGAGTTTCGATAATTTTCTTGTGGAGTCTTTGAGAGTTTCTAAACATAGGATCATATCAAGGTGGCCGCTTCTCTGAAACCCTATACAGGGTTAGATCCAGCGGCACTCAACAACAACAAAGTGATATATTCAAGTCTTTTTGTGGAACTGTAGGATAAGCACTGGACCACAAAGTCTTTTTAAAATACAAGGTCAGTGGTTCAAACTCACTAGCAGCTTCTGAAACCCTACTCAGGGTCACTGTGAGTTGAAGCTGACTCGATGGCACTTAACAAGTAAGATAACATGCTAAGACAGAGGGTCACTGTGAGTCAGAATTTAACAAGAGCAATTAACATAAACCCTTTCACTGCCTTTTTCTAGTTTCAGTTTCAAATCTTAGAAAATTCCTAATAGAAGAATGTTTTCTCCTTTTTTACCTGATTTGGGCATCTTTGCATTTGTTCTGGATGTCGATATATTTAATTTTGTGGCTTACTAATTAGCAACTCATTTTAGTGTGTTTTTTTTCCTCTAGAACACACAACAAAATGTATCCCATTGCGTGCACTAACAAGACAGCAAGTCCACGCTCTGCAGGACGGAGCAGAGCTATATGAAGCTGTGAGGGACGCCCCAGACCCAGGCGACCTGGAGGTGAGCGAGCACGGCGGCAGCTGCAGCCACACGCTGGGCCGTTATGGGCAGCAGGGTCTCAAACGGAAATGTCTATAACGTGCAGACCAGGGCAGTGCACTGTTGACTTGATACCGAGTATCAGGCAGGGTTGTTGGGTAGTGTGTCTATACTGAGTAACTCGTTCAAAATGTAGTGTCACTTCATGCTGATTGTAGTTCCCATGGCTTTGCTTCTGACTCAGGTCCTACCTAGGGTTTATTTCATCACCCTCTGCTTTAAGGTTACTTAGGGAGCATGGTTGGCTCTGTGTGATAAGCACTGGACTGCTAACCAACAACAAGCCAGTGGTTCCAACCTATCAGCCATTTAACAACAAGGCTACGTCAGTGGGAAAGTTTCAGAAGCACCACACTGTTCCCAGTACTATGGACTTTAAGATCCTGGCTCTTCCATTTATTAGCTAAGGAAACTGGGGATAAAGATGGGCCTAAAATATACTGTTTTAAGATGAAACTAGTAATGTATGTAACAGTGCAAGGGTTCTGGTAGCATCGTGACTCAGGCACTCACCTGCTAGCTGACAGGCAGATTCAATTCGCCAGCCTTTCCTGGGAGCAGAGACCTGATGGCCAGTTCCTATAAAGATGGCGGCCTGTGGTTTGTTGGGTGTATTCAGTGCCCTGTAACCGGTAAAAATCTACATAAGTGTGATTACAGCTGTTAGAACAGTATTTCCTGCATTAAGGTACGCTACCTGGTGTGGCACTGTAGGGTAACACACTGAACCGTAAGGCTGTTTGAACTGCAAGGTCAGCGCTTCAGACTCACCAGCCTCTCCAGGGAAACCTATACAGGGTCACTGAGTCACAACTGACTTGGCAACACTTAACAATAACAACAACACTTAGATAACATTTTAAAGCTGCTGAGAGTCTAAAATAATGCACATTCTAATACAGTGTGCTACAGAGGGAAGGAGAAAGAAGCATTGTAGAGAAACGTGGCTGGTTATTGATTAAGTTCATTTACTTCGTGACTTAATAAATGTATCGATGTAGCCTTGTTGTTGTTGTTGACTGCCATAGAGTTAGTTATGACTCATAACGACCCCATATCGGGTTTCCAAGGAGCGACTAGTGAGTTTGAACCGCCAATCTTAGGGTTTAAACTGACCTTGTAGTCCAGTGCTTTGTCCCACAGTGCCACAATTCTAAACAACACTGGAGTATGTGCACAGTTTCGTGGTGGCACGATGATTAAAAGTTCGGCTGCTACCCAAGCAATCAGTGGTTCGAACCCCCTGGCCTCTCTAAGAAAAGAAAAGACCTGAAGACCTGGTCCAGGAAAGATTACAGCCTTGAAAACCCGATGGGCAGTTCTACTCTGTCCTCCTTAGAAGGCAGGATGGCGAGACCTCCCTTCTCATATTTCAAACATGTTGTCAGGTGGGACCTTTCTTGGGAGTAGGACATCCTTGATAAAGTGGAAGGTCAACGAAAAGAGGAAGACCCCCAATGAGATGGATTATTGTGTGTTTACAAAAATACCTCGAGGTGAATAGGGGAAGGGCTGTTGGCAAACAAATGTCAAAGGTGCATTTTTTTGTGAAAAAAATGGATACTTACTATAAGAATGTAAGTTAAGACTCTTATACTTTACTGAAATATTATTTACCCCTAACTCGTATTCTTGAACCTTGTGCTTTCTATGAGTCATCATGAAGATAATTTCAACTTCTTTACAGAATCTAACAAAATGTTTAGTAGTCAGATTGTCCTTTATGAAATGTTGCTGTTGTAAAGTGCCGTGGAGTCGGGTCTGCCCCATATCAACCCGATATAGGGTTTTCCAGGAGCAGCTGGTGAGCTTAAACCACTGACCTTGCAGTCCAGTGCATTAAACCACAGCGCCACACCAGCACTCCATTTATAGAA